AAGGAAAACTAGGAAACTGTGACAGGAAATACTTGTAAAGAGTGCTCATGACACATTTAACTGCATAATGGGTCCAGCTGAGCCAGAAGGAAGGTTGAAGCTTAAAGGAAGGTATGAATTCTGAGTCATAGAAATGGCCAAATTAACCCCGCCTGGGCTTCTCTATCTCTAGTAATGGAGATATGGGTATAGCTTCTCTACCTGATTCACAAGCAGAGAAGAGAAAAGCAGTGCATAACTCACAGCAGGCACCACAGAGTCCTAAGAGAAGAGTCAGCTCAATTGCTACACTCTCTTTTGCCTCCAAGCCAACTATACTGCAGATGCCTGTGTTAGGCCTACACTAGCCCACTGTTTAGAAGTGACCATGCATCTTTAATGAGAACCTTGGAAGGAAGCAATCCACATATTACACACTTCAGAGGGCACTTTTGGAGCCAAATATTTTCTACTTTCAGAAATATAGATAGTGCTGAAGCAGAAAGGGATTGTTGAGAGTACAGTCTGCCCTCCATATCTGCAGGGTTTGAATCCACAGATTCAATAAAGTGTGGATAAAAAATATTTTTTAATCCCAGAAAGTTCCAAACAGCAAAACTTGAATGTGTGATGTGCCAAGCACTATGCCGAATCTAGGAGTACCCTGCTGTAGCCTATATGGAAATATAGGTTATATGCAAATACTATAACTTTTTTATATAAGAAACTAGAGAATCTGGATTTTGGTATCCTCAATGGGCCCTAGAACCCATCCCTATTGAGAGATGGCTACTCAACCTAGTGTTTCTCTAAAGTGTTGTCAGGGAAACTTCTGCATCAGCATTATCTGCAGAGTTTAGTTAAAATGGAGATTATTTTATCTCATTTCAAACCCACTGAATCACACTGTCAAGGGGTAAGGCCCAAGAATCTGCATATTAAATTACAGGGGGATTCTAACTGCCCTGAAATTTGAGAACCATTGGCAAATGTTGGAGTTCCGTGTAGTAAGTCACCCAATATACCCAGGGTAAAATCTGAAGACTTCTTACCACAGAATCATTTGGGGTGCCCATAAAAACTCAGGTCCCTGGATATCCTTCTAACCCCCTTGACTCAGAATTTCTTACATGTGATAAAATTTGAGAAACAAAGTGGCTTCGTTGTACAGATCCAGATACTAACCCAGAGAGAGACGTGATTTGCCCAAGGTTGTCAGTAGAGCTAAGGTCACACCCAAGTCTCCAGATAAGTCCAAATGGTATCTTGAGGGTTATGTATTAGTTTAGCTTCTGGGACATTCATTAGAAGGCCTCCCTCTCTAGAGTAACAATGTAACTGCTCTAGGTAATTGCATGAGCCTAAATCAGCTGTGGGCAAACTATGGCCCGCGGGCCGGATCCGGCCCATTTGAAATGAATAAAACTATTGGAAAAAAAGACCGTACCCTTTTATGTAATGATGTTTACTTTGAATTTGTGTTAGTTCACACAAACACTCCATCCATGCTTTTGTTCCGGCCCTCTGGTCCAGTTTAAGAACCCATTGTGGCCCTCGAGTCAAAAAGTTTGCCCACCCTTGGCCTAAATCAAAGCTTCTTCTGCAATGAGTTAGTCAGATCAGCTCAAGGTCACAAAGCTCTCTAAAAAGCAGCAGGGTCCTGCAGGCCCTTCATGAAATGGGGTCTCAGGGGACTCAAGAGTGAATTAGTTTTATATCTAGGGACACTCTTAACCCTGGCTTAGAGTCAAACTGAAACAAAACCCCAAATGTCCTGCAATAGTTTAATAAGCCTATTTTTGTGCTGTTGTTTTTGTAGTCAAAACCTATACCAATTAAGTAAATGCTTAAACATATGAAGTTTTGTGTCAGACCTGGTCCAAGTTCACTAGTCTGATGGCCCAAACCTGTGCATTTGAGGTTCCATCTCTTTCTCTACTTTATCTCCCCAAGCCTGTAGTCTGGAATTCCTCAAGACTGGCATGCTCTGCCCCAGGATCTGCTGGGATAATTCAATAGAAGGCCATTGACCTCCAAAAGGAGAGCAATTCCCTATAATAAGACAAAGTAGATTTTCTTTGAAAGATTAAGCAATTGCCATTGACAATGGTAGTGTTGTATGGTTTACATTTGGGATAAAGCTTATAATTTTAGTGTTTCACTAGTGCTACATAATTAGAAAAATTAAATGCTCTGCCACCTTGAATACATAATTCTGTAAAGAAACAAGATACCTCTGTAGAGATTCTAGAACTTGTGAGGGTGGAGATAAAGGGCCAAAGGCACGGACAGAGAGTGAAAAATTATAATCACACCCTTGCAACAGCAACAAAAAAGAGTTTGGTACAGGTTCTCAATCCCTTATCTTCAATTCTGAAATAGAAAGTTCTGTAGGATGGAAGCTATTTTTTTTTCCATTAATTCGGTGCAAGATTCATTTAGCAGCAAAACCTGAGCTGAACTGACATGAACTTAGTCTTTATCTCTTTTAGTATAAATATTCAGGATTTTTTTCCATGCAAAAATGTTAATGACTTAATTATGGGATATTTTCCCAGACATCATTGGGAGTGTTATGTAAGGAGCAGTACATACTCTCTGTTAACTTTCCAAATTCCAAAACAAAAAAAAAAATTAATTCTAAATCTCAGTCAGATAACAGACTGTGGATCCAGAATAATGATAACTAACATTTATGGAGCACTTGGCATCTGCATGAAGCTGTGCTAATCTCTTTTCATCTCATTTAATCCTCAGGTCACTATAGGACAGGTATTAAAATCATCACCATTTGAAAGTTAGGAAATTGATTCTCAGAGAGGTTAAATAACTTGTCCAGAGTCACACAACTTTTGGTCAGACTAGGATTTGGATGTAGGTTAGTCTGACTCTAGAACCTGTATGCTGAATTCTTGCACTCTACTGCCTGGGAGAGATTAACAGTTGTGAAGGGCAGCGTGGGCTCATTAGGGCTTCATGTGAAAGTAGAATATCATTTGAGGAACAACCTACTACCTTCAAATATGTACCCTCCCCATCTCTACTTGTCTGCAATGCAACTAATATAGCTTTATTTCTTGAGGTTCATCTACGTGGCTTTTCACACAGGGACCACCAGCATCAGAAATCTGCTGGGCATGTTATTAAATACAGATTCCTGATGTCCACCCCAGACCTGCTGAGTCAGAATTGTTAGGGAACAAAATCAAATTCATTCCTATACACATTATAGTTTGAAAAAAAAAAGTGAATACCCTTAGAAAGGCCAATCATTAACCTTCATTAACTAATTTACATCTTAGTATCAGTTGACACATGGTTGGATGAGCAGGCATAAACTCATGGATGGGCACCTGGAAAGTGGAAGATGTCTGAAAGGTAAATGAGGAGACTTTATAAGGGTGATATATGAAAAGGGAAAAAGAAAGGATGATATGACAATATCTCACTAATTTGGTAATATTCAATAAGGGTAAAGCCTCACCATTGACATTGTCCAGCTGTCAATCTTAGAAGCAAATGTCTCTTTTTTGGGTGGCCACTCAGAACACATCTATTATTGCATTGATACAACAACCCTCTGAGGTAGACAAGATAGCAAAGCTCATTAGATAAAATAGGAGATTGAAACCCAAGTGAGTTCTTCAAACTTATCTTGCTGATTAATGCTAGTATTTGGGCAAGTTTCTGGCCCCTTATCTTAGACTATTTCATTCTTCCAATAACTTTTTTCATAGATCTAGAGAGGAGGAACCATCAAATAAAAGCTAGGGAGTCAAGTCTTAAATTAAATGATGCACAGTTTTTGCCCACCAATGGCCAGTTTGAATACATTTGAATGCTATGATACACAAGGAAAAGGCAATGAGAGGAATTACACAGCAGAATAGTTCAACTGGTATACCATATGTTTGGGGTTTGTTTTTAACTTTTTCTGGTTGTTTTCTTTTTGTTATCAATGCAGGGAGGACTGTGGAACATTTTTTATTTCTATATTTTTAAGAAATTCTGTTCTTATTTCCTTGATTCTTAACCTTACCTCTTCATCTTGCCTGTGATGACTTAGTCATCTCCATAGCAACCAAAATGTGACCTCAGATAGGAACTAGAAAGCCAGAGAAGATGAAATGACTACTACCACAGCAATCAGATCCCCACAGCAGTGAAGGCTGGGATTAGGGCAGTGAGGGTCAAGTCCAACCAATGATTATTACAATTCGAACTGAGTATTCTCTAGAGCAGCTCTTCTCAAACTTCAGTGCATATTTGAATCACCTGGGGAATCTTGTTATAGTGGAAAACTGATTCAATAAGTCCAGTGGGACCTGAGAGTCTGCTTATCTAACAATCTCCCTGGTGATGTCAATTCTGCTAGTTCCCATATCACATTTTGAGTAGCAAGGGGCATGAATCTTCACCATGCCTGAGTAGTGTATTCAAATGAGTATATCTGTGGTACTGGAGGAATTGCTAGTCTGGATAGCAGTCCTGATGAGCATGCTGGATCTAATATTAACTAGATTTGTTTCTTTGGGCAAACACTTTTACCTCTTTGGATCTCTGTTTTCTCATCTTGGAAAGTATGAATTTGACATGGGTGATCTCTAAGGTCACTATGGATTATAAAATTCTTTGAGTCTCTGATTTTAAAAAAAAGTTCTTTAGAACCAAAGGCTTAATCTGAGGGCAAATTCCTATAATATAAGGGAGTGGGGAGAGAAATCCATTGTGTCTTTTATATTTATCTTCTTAATTCAAAATCCTTTATTTGTCCTAAAGTAATTTATTTCTTCTGAATGTGCAGAAAATTGGCATTCTCCATGAAGACGAGGTGACATTCAGCAGTGGACAACAATTTTGCCATCTCTCCAGCTCAGCTCTCAGCATCTCCTTGTGACTTCATAGATAACAGCTTTGGCTACTTGCTCATGATACTGTCTCTTTGATCACAGAGCAAACTTACTGTCTGACCACTGGTCTCCAGGACTTGTACTCAATTCTACTTATTTCTGGAAGATATAATGGAGAAGCATACAGAATCATCACCTACATCGCAGGTAGAACATTCCTCCCTTTGGGCAGAGAACCTCATTCTGCAGCCACAAGTGCAGCATCTGACTGAGGAGAACACTACTCTGAAGGATAAAGTCATGCCTGCTCTGGCCACCCCGATGATGCCTTTACTCTATTCACTTAAGAATCTTTCCCAGTTTCCTGATGACCCTGCCAATCTCTCAGGGTTTCTTGCTCAGGTGACTAACTATTTGACAACTCTCAAGATCACCAATCCCATACACGATGCCCAAGTCAAATTGTTTTTTGACTACCTATCTCAGCAGATGGAAAGTTGTGGGATGATATCTAGGTCTGAGCAGAGTGCTCTGTTGAAGCAATATGAGAACTTTGTTCTTGAGTTCCAGCGGTCATTTGGTGAGTCTAAAAGACAGGCAATGAGCCCTCTGATGAATGCTAAGGTTGACGAAGGGGACAACTCCTCTCAGCAAGATGCTACTACTTTCCAGCCTCTTGCTCAAAATCTGAGCTGTAATGAAACCAATGAGAGTGATCACTTCCAAGAGGGCCTACCTGATCCCATTCAGGATGAAATGAGTGGCACAGATATGATGGACAACCTCCCAGACCTGATCACTCAGTGTATTCAGTTAGACAGGAAACATAGTGACAAGCCAGAGCTCTTACAGTCAGAGGCCCAGTTCCCAGTGTTGTCATCCCTGGTTCACTACCAAACCCTCTCCAGCCCCTCATGTCCATCATCCAAGGAGCTTATACAGCTGAGAGGAAGCCAGCCACCTCTCACCCCTGCCAAACGAGCCCGCCAGCAAGAAACTCACTTGTGCCTCTACTGCAGCCAAGCTGATCACTTCACAAGAGATTGCCTTGCAAAACGATCTCGAGCTCCAGCAAGGATAAACAACCCAGCTCACCAGTAAGAGGAGCCAAGGCATGTCCCTTTGTGAATTTACATTCCTCTCACCTCCAGCCTTACTGATTTATATCCTGCACTAAACATTTAAAATACAGATGGAGAACTGTGATACCACTTTACACATTCATGAACTCATGTCCTTCTGGAAATTTAAATAACCAGATCTGATTTATTTGGTGACCCATCACCAAACTTAATGCAACAATGATGAAAACAATTCACAGGTACTTTCTGTAGTTGGTACTAATTTCCCAAGAGTACTAAAACCCTGAAGGCAAAACTCTGCCCAGTCTTTGCCAATGAAAACAACCCTGGAAGTACATTAAGAACCTCTTCCCCACCAATGGGTGAGATCTAGTTTGAGTCTTCTGTGCCTAAGAGTGGACCCAATCTTTTTACCCTCACCCTCATTGTTCCCTGTTGGTTTAAGACTCTGGACTGAAGACTTAATTGCATTTTCATATTTCCTACCAATATTATCCTACTAGAGGCTGGCTTCTGCTCCACCTGTTGACTAGAGTTCAGCTTCAACACAAGCCAACCTTCATGGAAACACAGCTCTGCCACCCTTCCATACAGCTATATTTTATTGTCATTTAAAGACTTAAGCTTTCTCAACATACTGGGTCTCTTGGCTATTGACAAACCAGGTGGTATGGCCTTTTGAACATGGCCTGGAATTGTCAGTCCACTTCTAGCCCTTCAGAAAGGTACATATTTTTAGCTAAGCCCTACCAATTCCAGCTTACCTTCCTTTTTGCCAATCATCTACTTTAGGTTTCTGCATGTTGTATGACCAAGTTAAGATTGTCTAGGATAATGACTTATGACAAGTATTTATTGAAAGTTACCCCATCGTAATTACTGTGTCTGCATTGAAGACTGAGAGCTGGGCCTTGAAAAAGTTTCTGACTCTAGAGGCTTCAGTGTGGTCACCACGTAGGATCACTGGCCATTTATGTTAAGCTCTACTCTTATGGATGACGTCTGGGAAGCCCTTGCCTGATTGAATGTCTTGAAGAGCAATTAATGGCAGGCAACTTTCTGAACCATCTCATCTGAAGAATCCTGGGGTATATAAACAAACACCATCTGTACATAAAACTCAAGAACTGGGGTTGGATTGCTTGTGTTGTACTCTTGACATATATCAGCTCTGTATATGGATTCCTAATGCTTCAGAACAAACATCATCATGCTATACTGTAAAGGCACAGCTTTCTAAAATCTTAAGGATATCTAATGATGATCAGTGATTCCTAGTAATTATCCAATCCTCTGTTCCCTGCTTTGTAGTACTGATATATGTCCTCATAATGTATCCTCTGAAGAAAAATTGGTAATTCAATTTTTCCTAATAGCCACCAAGACCTCTCAGAATATAAAGTGCAATTGTCCTTTAGCCTTATTCCTGGAGAATTATGCTAACATTGGCAATACTTAAACCTAGCTAGGAGCTTACTACTCTCATCTTGTAGCACTACCAGATAGATCTTTCTGCCCATCAGTGCCTCACTAACTACTGTACCAATCCTTATTTGCATTCACAAGAGGTCTCTTTTATCAACAGCTTGCTATGCATCCACTTTACTCCATGTGCTCTCACAACAAGGAGACCTGAATGCATATATTTCAGTTGTTCCAAGGAATTCTCATGAGAATGCTAGGATTATATGAGATCCCCTAAAGTAGCGGTTCTCAACCTGTGGGTGGCGACCCCTTTGGCCGTTGAACGACCCTTTCACAGGGGTCGCCTAAGACCATCCTGCATATCAGATATTTACATTACGATTCATAACAGTAGCAACATTACAGTTATGAAGTAGCAATGAAAATAATTTATGGTTGGGTCACAACATGAGGAACTGTATTTAAAGGGCCAGAAGGTTGAGAACCATGGCAAAGGGTAGATTTATATGAACTTTAAGTGACTCTGGAATTACCAGGAGGTATCCTAATCTAGCACCACCAATTCTGTAATAAAGAACTCATTCAATAGCTTCAAGTCATTTCCTTATAAACCCTAGTATATTCCTGGAGTGCTAATGGTAGCATTCAATTGGCTTCATCACCAACATTTCCTTTCTTAGGAACATAATTTATCATTATGTGCCCTCTCACAAAAATATGTCACTCTGTTTCCTCTTTGGACCTTCCTTCTGCAGCAAGATTACCTTCTTCTCCAAGAAATCTTCATATTTCATAGCCTCTCAGAAGAGATAATCAACCCTGGGCTACTAACTTCAGTTCACCTCCCACTTCTAGAGGCCACCTCTTGTGCTCTGTGTGATGAAATCTAACAGTGAGACTGAGCATATGAATAGAATGCTGAGTTAATACTTTTATGCCTACTAGCTAGCAAACATTTTATTTACCACTTTAAAATATTTTATAGTGACACCATCCACTTCAACTATAATTAATTCATTACTTAGCATAAAGAGTTACATGGATGAGTTTTCAGAACGTATACCAGAGTGAACTTTTCTGAGAGTGAAGCAAATTAAAATCTACAGAAAACAGATGAGATGTAACCTACTGAAATATGTAGTCTGGAAATGTTAATGCTTGGGTAGCCCTCAGGTATAATCAAGGTTGTAGCGTGGGAGGCAGATCTGCTGTATAATTGATGCCACCCAGCAAGATAGAATCTAATCATTTTATGATGTCTTAAGAAGGAATTGTTTACAAGAAAATGTTCTGCATGGAATCCAAAAGAGAAAAAAAAAGAGAAACAGGAGGCAATTAAGAACCACAGGATACTGGTAATCTCTCTAGAGTCAGAGGGGGGATGTTGACCAGCAGATGATTTGTCAGGTCCACCTACAGTGAGTGAGGTGAAGGCACAAGGCCATCTCAATTTTTGTCATTAGCCATTACGATTGTCACCAAACTCCCCTTGCTCTGACTCTATGCTCTAAAAAGTAATATTTTCCTGTATAAAAATGTTGTTATGGGAGAAAATTTGCTAACCAGCTGGCACGAGTGTTCTAGACTAATTAATTCTTATTATAAATGAATAAATTCATGTTTGGCTTATACATCAGTTTTTTGTAGTTTTAATAGCATCAATCTTCCAGATTCTAATCGCCTCTGAGCACACTATAAAAAAAATAAGATTTTCACCGTGCAAAGTCAGCACCACAGTGCGAACCATAGCGAATCCACTGAATATTAGCCTCCCTGAGACCATTGCCTCAACAGTCAATCAGCCTCCCTCTTTATTTCTCTCATTTGTCTACAACTGTAATAAAATTACAAAATACCTATGAGTTTCACTTCCTGCACTTTCCTCCACACACATTCAGCACCATGGTACCTGCCTTAAGCAATTGCTTCTTACAATACTACATAGTTTAGTCAAACCATCAGAATGCACTGTCATGGATGAAAATATGTAGACATAAGCCCATGTGAAGAACCTCTGGAGAGAGAGGGGTGTATACAATTGGCCTAACTCTCATCATCTCCATTCTGTCCAGATGGAAACATATAAGAAAAATACTGTCACTGCCCTAACCTCTACCCATGATGGTAAAACAAATACCACCCTTTTCTAGATTCTGGAAGATCTTCTCCACCCAGCACCATCTTGCCTATGACCACAATAGTCATCTTTGAAACAAAATAGAGAATTTAAGATATATCGGCATCTTGGCAAAATCTAACATATCATGCCCTTGGGAAAGCTCTGGGAGCTTGTGCCACATCTGTATATCCTTCTACGTTGGTGACCATCTTTCACTGCCTCTCTTTGAAGCTTCAGACCTCATTTAGCCAAGATACTGGGAAAACCTTCAAGGGACTATAATGTCATAAGTCTTCAATGTCACCTTCATACAAGGGTTACTGCTCACATTTTACAAATAAAAATGCCTGAAGGGTGGTACACCACTTAGTAGAGTCAGTAGAACTCTCCTGGTACTCAGACCACATTTCCCCTTCATTGATAATGGCTATAACTTTGAATATTCATACACTAAATTATTGATATTACTTCTTTATATAAGCTTAGATTCTTGTGTCTATTTGAACCTGTTTTCTGATCAGTGCCTTTCAGTGCACACATAACATGGCTCTGGCCCTTTTATCTATCCAGTTCAGCAATCAGCCGGTTGTGACTATATTTCACCAATTCCATTTGCTTCATAGTAACCCTTCACTGTGGAAGACCATAAGAATTTCAATTTTCCTATGCATAGAAAACGTCTCTTTGGGCATATAATTTGGCTTTGTGTGCATCTGGGGAAAGGGAATTTATAGTTGGTGGATGACTACTTTACATCAGGTTCTGTGCTCAGTGCTTTAATTTGTTAATGATAGTTATTTAATTTCACATTATGATATCCATTTCTGGCTCTTAATGCTCAGGTGGTGATTATATACATATATATATACATATATATATATATATATTATATATTATATATATTTAGCATATAGAGAAATATGCTAATTAGGTTGGGACGCCATAACGGGTCACAACCGAACAGGAGGAGGTTGCACACACAGCATCGGGAGTGGGGAGAAACTGGGGACTGGCTTCCTTAGTAGCCCTGCAGGGTCAATCTGAAGAGGACAGGACAGGCACCAATAGACCAGTGCTGCCAGCAGGATCTCGACAGGGCTGCTGGCCTCCTGGAACTTGGCCTTGGGCACTGAGGCTGCTTCCCATTCCTTGGACTGGCTCCCTTAGTAGTCCTGCAGGTTGAATCTGAAGAGGACAGGCCAGGCACCAATGGACCAGCACTGCTGGCCCTTGAATGTGAGCAGAGGGAAAAAAGACCTTCAAGGTTTGTCCAAGGCAGGTTTGCATTTAAAGCCAAGTGGGGTGGTCCGGGGCTGCGTGGCACTGACAACCATGGCAGTCTCCGCTTGGGTGGTGCAGCTACAGCTCAAAGTGTGAGGAGTGAGGGCCATGCAAGCCGGGCACTTTGGCTGCCAATGGTCAGCTAATTTCAGCTCCTAGGTGGACATAATCAGGGAAGCCGGTGGGACCTTTGCAAAAAAAGAGAAGGCTGAAGAGGAACGATACTTCCAAGAGCGGACTAAAGAACAGCTGGCAGCCTTGAAGAAACAACATGTAGAAGAGATCACTCTTCATAAAAAAGGAAATTGAACATCTGCAGAAAGAAATTGAGCGGCACAAGCAGAACATCAAGAAAGTGAAAGATCATGATCCTGTGGCGGTGTCAGGGTGAGGGACAGCCATATTTGCTGGTGCAGCCCAAGCTGTCAACAACAAAAAGT